ATCCGATGAAAGGAAAGGGGAGTGAAATCAAAATCCCGATTATCTGAAATTCGATCTTTGCTTTGGTTTTGTTTTCTAGTTGTGGTGGAAACTGGAATCAATCAGTCGCCTGGGAAATGTATCTCGATAAATGACATTCCATGGAGAGGAAGTTCTTTGTCTTTTGGTAGATGATAGTGCCATGATTTCATTTCAATTACTGGTTTCTTTCTAGGTTGATTTTGATAAAAATTGTGTGATTTCCAAGCTCTAGTGAGTGTTTGGCTGCTGCTGATAAAGTGAGCTGAAAGCAAGATGTGGAATTTGTGGTAAGAGTTTATCTACATGTTTATATCAACTTCATGATAGGTGAAATTTATTTTAGTTGTTCATATTTGTTTGTAGGCAAATTGCTTCACGAAATACATCAGTTAGCTCTGATTGTGCACAAAGTAATCAATTTCCTTATCTTTACAACCATTTTAACCTTTGATGTCTCTTTTGCTGATGAACTCGACTCATCTCCAAGGCCGAGGTGAGCCATTGCTAGCCAAACGAAGTTGATGAGCTCTCCTCCTTTGCTCAGCAGCTCCATACGCGCTGTTGCATCACTTTTGCTTGCTGCGTGGAATAGCAACTCCATCCACACTTTGCTCACTATCCTCCACCTGTTTGAGTTCTTTGGCCAGTGCTGCTGCTTCAAACAGCACAGATTTGCTTTTATTTCCCTTGAAATATTATCTTGGATCAAAGTCTACGCTAACCGCAAGAATCTCATCAGTTGCAGTTTTCACATCCCTCAGAATTCTCGATTCCTGAAGAATTTCTTAGCTTCAGCCAACGTGTCTCTGAATCTGATCTTGCCTATGCCTGCAACCTCTGACATCAGCTTTGGCTGCTTCATCAAAAGATACATCATGTAGTCTGAGATGATTTTGCTGAACTCACGCTCCTTGTGATTCTCTCCAACGGATGCTTCTTCTTGGTAACACAGCTCAGTTGCTATGTGCCACAGCATAAGGCTCCGGTCATAATCAATATATGCTATATAACGAGTCAGCCCTTCTAGCTCTGCCATTTTTAAGCCGGTGTTACCAAAGGCCCAGCCTTTCCTTCCAGCCTTTGTTGTGCTTTTCTCCTGCCGCATGTCTGGACGCTGGAGTTTGCATTGCAGTTGCAGCTGAGTAAATATGATAACCCACAGGTCTTTTGTCAAGGGTTCGCTGTGTACAAATCTTTGCGGGATGATCTCATCCAGAGAATTGAAGCTGAGGAGGTTGGTGATGTAGTTTCCAATAAATTTTGAAGAAGTGAGGTATCATGAACCAGAATTCGACAATAACAATAATACACATGGGCCAATCATTGATGACATCTCTGATTTCCTGGTGAAAGTTATGATTCCAAATGGCGATCCTTTCGCACATTGTCTTGAAGATGTTGATAGTGTAAACGGAAGGGAGAAGTATAGCCTTCCATGCACGGCGACGTGTTCTACCTTTGGCGCCATGGATTCTCTCTATATCTGCTGCTTTCACAGAGTATGTAATGAAGTTGAACAGGTTGAGGCTTCCTTTGGAGTAGAAACGGAGTGTGAAGAACCTCGTGCTCGACTCCCATACAGCATTTTTGCATCTTCCAGTGCAGCTTCTTTAAACCAAGGAACCAGTTGAGTGCGGGGTCTATCTGTGAAACCCTGACGACAGCAAATGTCCAGTCGGATGGCAGGACCATGAGGATAGATACAAAATCCAGAGCTATTCCAACTAAGAACAGAGTGTAGGTGATCACAACATCGGCTCCATGAAACTCGTGGCTTTTCTTGGGTCTATAATGAAAGATGAAGAAGGCTGACAGAAGAGATCCCAAGGCTATGGTTCGAATCCAAGTATGAAGAACCGAGACTTTTGTGTATAAACCTTCATAGATCAAACCGAGCTCGACTTCTAAAATCCTCAAAGCTTCTTCGTGTTTTAATTGACTGAAGAATTCCCTGCTCTCCTTGCTTTGCTCGGAGCTAAAGATGTTATTGACCACAAGACTCTTGAAATTGTTGAAGAACCTGAAAGCAACCCGGAGAATCTCAAGGTGCGTCAAATCTCTATCATGTTCTTCTAGCTCTAGACGTCTCTGCTGTCTAGCATACCTCTTGCGTTGTGTCCTCTCTCTTCTCCAGGCGGTGGGTCTCATAATCAGACACTTTGAGAATTGAGCCCCTCATAATTCAAAAAAAAAAAGAAGAATTACAATGACTCTCTCTACATGTTCAGAGAGGCTAAGAGTAAATAATTCAGATAAACCGCAAATACAAGAGACAGTAGAGAACGAACTATCTCTAATGTTTTCTTCAGTTAAATCTCAACGCTTTTTTAGACACTAAGCTTAAGAAGCATTGTGTGGCATTGAAGAAACTTTTCTTAGAGATTCTGGATTGCTGATACAAAAGCAAACAGACACTATCAAACCAGAGAAACACGAAACAAACATCAAGTTTGATACCAGAACGAAAAACATCTCTTCCATCTTCTCAAGCCTGCGGAGGTTGAGTAGTTCTACCCTATTCTGAGGTGGGCTGGTTGGCGGAAGCGGTTGTTCCATAGGTAGTACCCTTCTGTGGGACAGTTTCATCGTCAAGAAACACGGATTCAAGCTTGGCGATCATTCTAGCAGCTAGAGGAAGACCACGAGACTTGCTCATCAGCTCATCGATGCATTTCTTGTCGTTTCTCGGAGGCTCTTTTATACCATTCTCTGTGACCGCTGCTTCATAGATATCCCACACACTTTTAGGATCAGTCAGAGGCCAAAGACGATGTATCTCATGTTCCTTTGCAACTAGCTTGTTCGCCAGATTCTTTTTCTCATCCCTGGTCGTGTATATGACTCTTCCACCAGACCCTTTATGGAATCCATCTGAAAGATACTTTCCCCATCTCTCATCCTCCTTGAGTTTCTCCTCATCATCCTCAAGAATCTCTTTCCAATCGTCCTCTTCTCGGACATCATCAAACACAATCAGATACTTCTTAAACCTCAGATCCAAGTGAAGTGCATAGAGCAGAGCAGAAAGCTCCTTCTCTGTAGCAGTCTCTGCATCAGTCTCCCCTTTGCCTTTGTGGTTGCAACTTCTTGTTCAGCCTCTTCATGGATGGATTTGAACATGTCATTTTCAACTCCAAGATCCTCTTTAACACAGATATCTTCTTATCCTCTCCTCCCTCTGTCTCTTGGCTATGCATAGAAACCCAAATTCTTGGAGCATAAACCCTCTTCACATCAATATTGTTGAAGATCATCTTGCATAATGCTGTCTTCCCCACACCGTATTCTCCGACAATCACAAGAGTCTTGAACTCATAGTAAACCTTTCGATTCAACAAGAAGTTCTTCAGTGCTTGATCTCGTTCTTAAAACCGTAGATGTCATGGTCCGGAAGTGCAGAATTGGTTTCCTTACGGTCCTCGTCCAACAAGAATCAGAAGGATGTTTAGTTTCTCCAAGAACTTGATTATTTTCAAAGATTAATTACTAAAACAACTTTTGAAAAGTTGCCTAATTACTAAAACAAATTTCTAATAAAGTAAAACAAAACACATATAAACATTAGTAAAAAGTTTTAATAACGAAAATGCTATTATGAATT